ATATATTATCAACTAAAAAACAGGTGTATATATTCTCGATTGAAACTAGGACGTCTATACTGAAACATTGGGTTGTAGACAACATGTAATTCCTTGAAGCAACAAACAATAATGGTGGATGTATACCTATTAGGCCCTGTTTGTTTGGGTGTTTGCTTATGCTTTTACAGCCTTTTCACTTTGACCAAAAAGTCATAAAAGCTCTGAAATAGGTTACACAATAAACAATAAAGACATAAACAACAAGACTTCATAATTTTCTTCCAACAAATTTTCTTATTCTAAACAAATACATCATAATTTCCTTCCAAAGAAATTTTTTTCTTTCAATATATATTGGACTTTGCTACCATACAACAAGACGTAAACAACGAAGCACAACATGAGGCTACCTTGGGCATGCCCATACGTTGGCAAAATTTGGTGTCATTCCATGCACGGCAGGGCCTACACCATGTTCAGCCGGGATCGTTCAAGTTTGTCGGTACAACAAGTCTCAAAGCAGTTTCTTTTTCCGGTCCATAAAATGGAATCAATTTTTTACACACACTGACATCACCATAGAAGGCATGCATGCCAAGTTTCATTGCTTTCTGACATTCTATGCATTTTCTATGGTTTCCCCGTGAAAAGCCAGGCATGAATGCCTACTATGGTCATGTCCACTTGCATACGATGTCGAAATTCGTTCAAACCAGGCATGTATGCCTACTATGGTCATGTCCACTTGCTTGCAAAGTTGGGTTCATTTGAAGATGTCCAAAAGTAGACCATGTACAACACAGCGTGTTCAGGTAGGGCCCGAAGGGACCGTTTGAAATCACATTGTTTTTCGACTTCGTAAAATGGCCCATAAATTTTATGTTGTACACAAATAGCAAACACTATACTTTTTAAAAAAATTATCAAATTTTGAAACGCAAAAATTTCTTATATTTGTGATTTTGTTTTACGAAAACAGGAACATTTTTTCAAATTCCAGAACATTATTCAAAATTGTAAAACAATATTTGAAAACAATTATATTTTTTGGTATTCCAAAAATATTTCAATTTTTTAACAAGTTTCAAAAATAATAATAAACTTCAAAAAAGAGAAAAATGAATTAATGATAAAACAAAAGAAAAATGAAAAAAAAACTATGCTCAGGCCTTGGTTCAACGAGGCGACGACCTCGCTCACGCCAGGTTCCTGTTGGGCCAACCCAAGCGTTCACGAATTTAAAAAAGTTCATCAATTTTAAAAACAAATGTCCACGAATTTGAAAAAAAAATCGCAGGGTTTGACAAATGTTTGTAAAAAGTAAAAAGGGTTCATTGATTCAAAAAAATCACAGAGTTGAAAACAAAGTTCGAGAATTTAAGAAAATATTCATGATTTTGTAAAGTTCATGGATTTAAGAAAAAGGTTGATGTTTTAGAAATAGTTTACAAATTTTAATAAAGAAAATAATATGAAAAAGAGAGAAAAATAAAAATAGAAGGAAATGAGAAAAACAAAAACCAAAAAAAATAAAACCACAACATGTTTCGAAAGATGTTCGGAAATTGTTCATGTTTAAAAAAATTTAAATTTTTAAAAATGTTTGCGAAAATTTCGTTTAGAAATTCAAAACTATTCGGCATTTAAATATTGTTCACATTTTTTGCAATAAAAGTTTCGGATTTGTTTCCCGAAAATATTTCATACGGAGTATGTATTAAGGCTAAAAAAGTGTTCTTTGTTTTTTTTGAAACGAGGCAAAAATATTTGCCATTTCATTAAATAAGAGAGAGTTGTAACAAGGTCTGAGGACCACAGCCAAACAATGAACAAAGGCGAAGATAAAGCAACTACTCGCGATGTAAAATTACACCCAGCCCTCTGGCACCCGCCAACGTCCACATTGTCGCCTCATCCATGATTTTTTTTCCACGATAATCGTCGTTGGCGCGGAGACGTTCCAAAAGACCCTAGCGTTCCTCTCCTTCCAAAGTGCTCTTTGTGTTTTCTTATATATTTTGCGCTAGGAAGTACCACATATATTGGGGTGGTTAAGTGGCTAGCATCATTTGCCTTTAAGTTGGAGGTCTTGAGTTCAAATCTTCATGAGCTTTCTTTATCTCAGTATTTTTACGACATTTACACTGAACGTGGTAGGGCTTAATGGGCCGGCCCAGTCCCGAGCGATTGTGCAAAAGTGTACCGAAGCAGAAGTGTTGCAAAAGGTTAGTGAATAATTTTGGATGTGCCTCTTTGGGGGGAAGGGGCGAGCTTAGATTGAATGAAATACAGTTACTTCCCTCTCTTGCCTCAAACATTTAGTATTTCACCCAGTGGTAGACTAGCCGATGATCTACTTTTTAAGGGGCAGAGTGAGCTTAGTCTGAAGGAAAAAGATCCCCAACTAGCTCCACCACCTAGTGAAATACTAGAGAATGGTTGTTTCGGTGGTGATGATTTTTACCTTGAGCAGTGTGGCAGGAAAAATAAGAGCTGCGAAATTTTCTTCAGCAAAAGCCGTTTCAGACTGTGGCAACCTCCATGTAGAACCAAATGCATGTAGAGGGACCTATGACATGCTTGACCTTAGGCATGGCAAGCTAAGGCGGGCAACCAAACGACCCTTAATCTAATGGCGGATCCTTAGAAAGTAATGTGGTTATTTTACTTTAAACGATACCCAATCTGTCTAGAAATATAAGTTTGACAATATACAATTAGCAAATGCATGGCCTTTAGTTTGGTTGGCATACTAATTTAGTCGCATTTTGTCCATCACGAGATAATCAAGTTTGATTGAATTATACCTTTTGTGGCCACACTTATGACAAGATTTTTTTACTAGGTTCATATGTACTTGATTTTAAAAAGTGTGACAATATTATCTCAACTATGAGCGTCATCTTTTTAGAAATACAGTACATACATAAACACTCACATACACGTATGCACACCCACATCTATAAACATACACACGTACACCCTATCCGTACGAGCACCTTCGAGAGCTGACAAATCTTGAGATTGACGAAGTTGGCACATGCACCTTGTAGTCGGCGGAAACGTCTCTTCTCACTAAATGCACATCATCAAAATTCATGAATAAAACAAATTCAGAAAAAACCGTACCAAATCCATGATTTGAACACGGATGGGATGCTTCCACCATAAGAAATCTAACCAATTGTGCTCAGTTCGTACTATGACGTCATTTTTAATCACCTAACCTTAGATAGTAAAAGATGGCAAAATGAGTATATGTGTGCTTTATGTGGTATAGAAATCGAGAACACCTTCCATGCCCTATGCAGATGCCCCCTGGCACGGCGACTTTGGACGGAGATGAGGCGGTACTGGAGCATGCCCAAGCTGGAGACAATAGCTAACACAGGGCCGGAGTGGCTCCTCCACTTGCTTAACCGGTGCACTGAGAAGGAGAGGCTACCGGTGGTGATGACACTCTGGCGGAGCTGGTATGTGCGCAACGAGGTGTACCATAATAAGCCAGCGCCGCCAGTGGAGGTATCCTGCAGATTCTTGACCGGCTACATCAATACTCTCATGCATATTCAACAACACCCCGGTGATGACATGATAAAAGAGAAGAAGATAGTAGCTTATGGCGACTATGGAGGGAATAGCAAGCAACATATATTGATGCATGCATGCACCCGACCTCCGGAGTGCTGGCTGAAACCCTCGCCTGGCTGGGTCAAGCTAAATGTAGATGGCTCTTGGAAGGAAGAAGACGGCACAGGCGGTGCTGGCATGATCCTCCGAGACCAAGGGGGTACTGTCATTTACTCGTCTTGTCGTTTCATTAGCAGATGTGCGAGCGCCCTGGAAGCGGAGATGGCGGCACTACTGGAGGGCATCTCTTTGGCCTTGGAGAGGAGTCAGGAGAAACTCATCGTGGAGACGGATTGCTCGACAGCGGCCAACATGATCAGCGAGATGGTGACCAACCGGTCACCAGTAGCGGCAATGGTTGGTGACATCCGACAGCTCCTTGCAATCCGAGAACATAAAATATCGTTGATTAGGAGAGAGCAAAATAAAGCTAGCCATACGCTAGCGCAGATGGGTCGTTCCAGGCCCAGAACTGCAGTTTGGCTTGGTAGTGTCCCTGAGGAGATTGATGTCCTGTGTAGACAGGAGTGTAGTGACTCGATCTAAGTAATGAAGGTTCTTTCATGCGCAAAAAAAAAACCAAACACGCCCCTAGAATGAACAGTATATTTCTCATTTCCCTCGTAAAAATTATATTTCTCACTTCTAATATGACAAAAAAAGGAAAACAGTACATAACGTAAGATAAATATGTTAGTACTGTATATGATTCTTGCATGCCGTGCACGTAATGGTGGTCAAAGTTTGAAAATACAGTACTGACAGCACGCATAATAATGTGTCGTATTCATGGACAGATCAAGTCTCTTGAGTTGGCCACCAAACAACACGACCCCGTGTTTAGAGGGCATTTAGACCCGGCTAAGGTCTCGCTGACTTGACCGCTGACGACCTGTCTGGTCGACGCATGGCCGTCACCACCAGGCCGGGCCCCACCAGATGAGGACGCATTGACCAGTCAGCGTCCGGTCATCCGGAGGAAACCGTAGCCGTCCACACGTGCCCTGCGCGCCAAATCCGACGGTGGGCCGTCGGCACTGTCTTTTAATGGAATTCCTCCCGACTGCCAGCTGCCGCGCCAGGAGAAGCACCGATGGAAAAGCTTCGCTTTGGAGCGCCCCACTAACAATAGCGAGGAAAAACAGGGTGGCAAAGGATTGGACTGATCCGTCGTTTTGGGTTGTTGTCTGGTGGGAAGAAGCGAGCGATTTCGCGCGGTTTTGGATGGCGCCGAGGTGAAAGCTTCGGCCGTGCGGAGAAATTTCATCAAATTTCGGTGGCGGTGGAGGAGGAAGCTGCGATCTTGGCAAGAATTTTCGGAGGCTGCGACTATATTGCCGAGGAAGTCTGGGCAAGGAAGGGGGGAGGAGGGCGGGGAGAGGCCCACGATGCTGCGGTGGCTGGCGCGGCCGGCGGAGCGGTGCCTGGGGCGCGGTGGCTGCGGTAGCGGCAGCGGGGCCGGCGGGGGAGGGGACGGGTTGCTGTGGCACGCGGAGCTGAAGCCGCACGCGTCCGGGGAGTACTCCTTCGCCGTGGCGCAGGCCAACGAGAGGCTGGAAGACCAGGGCCAGGTGGCGACCTCGCCGGCGTCCACCTTCGTCGGGGTGTACGACGGCCACGGCGGGCCCGAGGCCTCGCGCTTCCTCGCCTCCCGCCTCTTCCCGAACCTCCACAGTGAGTGCGCCGCTGTATAAACTCCATTTACGAACGCTTTTCTTTTTAGATTTAGCTTAGACTTCCTGTATGTAATTTGCTGAAATGGACTACATAACTACAGCAGTAGATTCTTGATGTAGTATTAGTTTTACACATGTTTCTCAAAGTAAGCAGAGCAGTGAGTTTGAACCAGATGTCATGCTGGTTTCTTTCTATAATTCTACTGTCATTGTTCATTTCGCATGCTTCGGTAGCCAATTCTCTTCTGTTCCATTTTTATTGCCCCAAATTAACGATGGATGATGTTATCTCTACTGATCAAGCTGTTATGTCGTTTACACATTTTTTCTGAAGATGTTCTCTAATTAAACCGAGTTTACATATTTGGATAACTAAATGACAGTCTTGTGCTCTGAACCATTGTAGAGTTTGCATCAGAGCAAGGAGGCATGTCGACAGACGCAATCAAGAAGGCATTCCATGCTACAGAAGAGGAGTTCTTGCACCTAGTCAAGGGGACATGGCTCAAACAGCCAAAGATCGCCTCAGTCGGCTCATGCTGCCTTGTTGGAGCAATTGCCAATAATAAACTTTATGTCGCCAATTTAGGCGACTCCAGAGCTGTCCTTGGTCATAGAGGACCAAATGGCCGGGGAGTAGTGGCCGAGAGGCTGTCTAATGATCACAATGTTGCTGACGAGGCGGTAAGAAAGGAGGTCATTCAGCAGCATCTTGATGATTCGCACATAGTCGTCTACAGCAGGGGCGTTTGGCGGATTAAGGGCATCATTCAGGTACGAATCAGCAAATCATGTTAGTTTGGATCCTTTTCAGGTGCATCCGTGCATGGCATTCTATTTGCAATCATGTTTTACAAACATTATGTGACAGTTGGCTGCTATTAGAAAATCTAGTAGGCAAGGTGGTCTCCAAAATTTGTTAATAGTTAATTAACATGTCAGGAACAATCATAGCATGCCCGTAAGACAGATAAATGGCGTACTGCAAAACAGAATTACATCTCAGCATAGGTGACCTGGTCCTAGTCTCTTGTAATTCAAGAGTGTTTGCAGATAATGCAAGTGAAGTCTGATGTTATTCCAGAAAATCTAGAACGCCGAGTCCATGAGCGCATGCCTCATTCAGTTTAGATTTTGGTGGGATTTTACTACTCTTCATGAACCTCACTTGATTGAAACATTAAACTCCATCCTGAAATTGATAAGCAATCAAATGTTCTAGCAAAGTTACATACTGATATCCCATGTACTAGCTCTATGTCATGATGCCCTAAATTATTTACTCAGATAAAGGCAACAGTCTAATTCTAATCGGACGTTGCCTTGGTTTCATGTTCAGTATACGTCATACCTGGACACGTCTGTTCTCGATGTCATAACATAGATTCCAATGTTCTTTTGCAAAGCACTCCTCGATCTAATACCACCATAGGAATATATTCTTCTGTTCCAAAAAGTCAGCAACTTGAATTGCTTGCGCAGTGTGGCAAACCCATATGCTAAAGCCATTGTCCCCTTTTTGTATTTTTCTAAAGCCTACAGTTAGTCGATCTCATCTAGGCGAATACTACATGATCTAAGAAAAGATGCCACCGGTTGCCTGCATTAGTTATCATCACCATGCTTTGTAATGTTCCTTAAAACTATAAAGGCAGTTCAACAGGAGAAACCTGCTTTTACAATGGCAGTCATGAGCCACACTAGACATTATTATTTCTTTGATGCTTTCAGGTTTCCAGATCATTTGGGGATGCCTACCTGAAGAAGCCTGAATTTTCCAGAGACCCTATATTCCAGCAATATGTGTGTCCTGTACCGTTGAAGCGGGCCGTCATAACAGCCGTGCCATCGATCAAAGTACACCAGATAGGGCAGCAAGACCTCTTTGTAATTTTTGCATCGGACGGTCTGTGGGAGCAGTTGACCGACAGAGCGGCGGTCGAGATCGTCTTTAAGAACCCGAGAGCGGTAAGCCAAGCTCATTTAACCTCGTCACGGGGAACACCTATACGCTGTTCCATTTATGCAGAATATGATGTGTTGTTGTGTGGAATATGCATGTGCTCAGGGAATAGCGAGGCGACTGGTGAGAGCGGCGATCTCTGAAGCCGCGAGGAAAAAAGAGATGAGGTACGTCGACATGCAACACATCGAAAGAGGGATGAAGCGGCATTTCCATGACGATATCACAGTTGTGGTGCTCTACCTTGATAGTCACAAACACGATGCGCAAACGAAGTTCGGTAGCCTGGACAGTTTCAGGTTCACCAATGCACCGGCGGACATCTTCTCGCCATCAGGCCAAACCGTGGAACCGACGGTGCTGTGAGCTAGTGTTGTGTCTTCAGAAGGGATAATAGATGACAGTGAAAGGAAAAGGAACAAACCAGATGAAATTTGAAGTCACCTAGACCGAGCCAAGCACATCTTTTTGTACATATATTGTGAGTATATAATCAAACCCACTCTAGGTAAGCTGATGTCTCTAGACAAGAATTCCATTGCCTTTGGAGTCTCTTTGTGTATCGGTTATGCAAGATTAGATACCCAAAAAAAGAGAAAAGGAAGGGGAAATCTAAAGATTGTTCTCAAGATTCTTTGCATGCATCGCAAGCTAGGAACTGTTTGATCATGAAGCTTTGTTCGCCACTGTGATTCGTGGGTCCAGGATTCCAGGCGAAAAAATTGAAAGATATGAAGCGTTCCTACTCCATCGAGGGAGCCGCGTGGTAGTTTATATTGATGCGTGGCCGAAGCCTAGCTTGACGTACAAGGTTATGACAGAAAGAGTTTGGGTAGAATACAAGAGAAGGAAGGAGGTTGAGATTACAACTCTATATTCTAACACCCTCCCTTAATCTCAACTAACCTAAGTTAAGATTACTCTTGAATTCTTCAAATGGTCTTGCTGGTAGTGCTTTTGTAAAACCGTCAGCCACTTGATCCTTAGAAGGAATAAATCGAATCTCAAGTTTCCTTGCCGCAACCCTTTCTCGTACAAAGTGAAAATCAATTTCTATGTGCTTTGTCCTGGCATGGAACACTGGATTTGCAGACAGATATGTTGCTCCCAAATTATCACACCATAAACATGAGATACGATTCTTCTTGATTCCCAATTCCTCAAGAAGTGATTCAACCCAAATGATCTCAACAGTTGCATTAGCCAAAGACTTGTATTCAGCTTCTGTACTTGAGCGTGACACAGTAGCTTGCTTTCTAGCACTCCAGGAGATAAGATTAGATCCAAAGAACACTGCAAAACCTCCAGTTGATCTTCTGTCATCACTACATCCTGCCCAGTCAGCATCAGAGAATGCACTCACAATAGAAGAATTAGACCGTTTGAAATGAAGTCCTATTCCCATAGTATGTTTCACATATCTCACAATCCTCTTGACAGCTGACCAATGTGCAGAAGTAGGTGCATGAAGATATTGACAAACCTTGTTGACAGCAAATGAGATATCTGGACGTGTGAGAGTTAAATATTGTAGTGCTCCCACAGTACTCCTATACCTTGTACTCTCCTCCTCTTGAAGTGGCTCACCCTCATATGCTGAGAGACTTTCTGAGGAGGATAAAGGTGTAGACATTGGCTTGCAATTTTTCATCCCCATGCGAGACAGAAGCTCAAGAATATATTTTTCCTGATTTAACACAATACCATCTTGAGTTTTCTTGACTTCAATACCCAAGAAGAAATGCAAATCACCTAGGTCCTTCAAGGCAAACTCTGAGCTCAAATCATGCAAAAGAGCATTAGTAGCATTTTGTGAAGAACTTGCAACTATGATATCATCAACATATATAAGCACAAAAATGACTACTCCTGCCTTGTTATAAATAAACAAGGATGTGTCAGCCTTGGAAGCAACAAAGCCAAGATATTTTAACTATGAGCTCAATCTGGAATACCATGCTCTGGGTGCTTGCTTTAGACCATAGAGTGCTTTATCAAGCTTGCAGACATACTGTGGCAATTTCTTACTCTCATACCCAGGTGGTTGTCTCATAAACACTTCCTCTTCCAGAACACCGTGCAGAAACGCATTCTGTACATCTAGCTGCCTTAAACTCCATCCTCTGGATACAGCAATGGCTAACACAAGTCTGATAGTTGCAGCTTTCACAACGGGACTAAAGGTGTCCTCATAGTCAATGCCATAACGTTGCTTAAAGCCCTTTGCAACTAGACGTGCCTTATATCTGTCAGTGGAGCCATCGGCCTTCTTCTTAATTCTATACACCCATTTGCAATCAATAATATTTTTACCTCTCTGATTTGGTACAAGATGCCAAGTCTTATTCCTCATGAGCGCAGAATACTCCTCATCCATTGCATTTTTCCATTTAGGATCATCAAGTGCATTCTTCAACGATGTGTGGTTCTCCTGAAATACACAACATTCCATATGGTATAGTTCCATCTTTCCTAATTTTAGGATTCCGTATACCTTTCTGTAGCCGGGTCATAACACGTGAAGAAACCTCTCGCTGCACCGCTGGTATACTTGCCACAGAAGATCCAGGAGAATCTGCTGATGCAGTGGACTGATTTGTCGTCATATGCGCAGGGGATCCTGTGGCTTCTGGTGTGGCTGCCCCTCCTGCAGGCACTGGCGCAGAGGATCCGCCACCCGACCGCGACTGGAGGCGCGCGTGATGCGGAGAGGATCTGGTCCCGCCGCTGGTCCCGTCTGACGCTGGCGCGCGGGGCGAGGGGGATTCGGCCCCGCTGCTGGTCCCGCCTGAAGCTGACGCGGCAGCACGGGAGTGGCCCGCCCTGGATCCAGGACTGGAGCCATCAGGGGCTTGATCCGAGGCGGATGCGGTCGCGTGATCCGAGATCTGCGCGCGTGCAGGGGTGGCAGGCGCCGCCAGATCTTCTTCGTCATCTGTGCCAGCTTCGTCTCCTTCCTCAGCATGAAATATAGGATCAAAACCAGCCATATTTTCGAGATCTTGGTCATTTTGAGCACCGTTTTCTCCAGGGACCTGCACAGGCATAAGAGAACGACTAGTACCAGCAGGAATATCATCGCATTGGTTAGTACAATTGTTGTTGCCCCCATGATCAAAAGACCGAAGATGTGAAGGAAGAAGAAGAATTTCTTTGCGGAGAAGTGCACCAGCATTAGGATGAAGGGATGCAAAGGGAAACACGGACTCATCAAATACAACATCTCTGGATATATACACCCGACCAGTAGGAACATCAAGGCACTTAACCCCTTTATGCATGGGGCTATAGCCTAAAAAGACACACCGTTTTGAGCGGAAAGCGAGTTTGCGTGTGTTGTAAGGCCTAAGATTGGGCCAACAGGCACAACCAAAAATACGAAGAGATGTATAGTTGGGTGTGACACCAAGAAGTCGTGTAATGGGTGTTTCAAATTTGATAACTTTACTTGGAAGCAAGTTGATGAGATATGTAGCAGTTAAGAATGCTTCATCCCAAAATTTAAGCGGCATGGAAGCATTTGCTAACAAGGCAAGCCCCATATCAACTATGTGACGGTGCTTTCTTTCAGCGGATCCATTTTGTTGGTGAGCATGAGGACAAGATACATGGTGTGATATGCCAAGCTTTTGAAAGAAAGAATTTAGTTTTTCATACTCACCACCCCAGTCACTTTGCATAGCAATGATTTTAGAGTTCAGTTTGCGTTCAACAAGATTTTGGAAATTGAGGAAAACTTGGAATATATCAGATCGCTTTTTCAACAGATAAATCCAAGTAAATTTACTATAGTCATCAATAAAACTTACATAATAGGAAAATCTACCAACTGAAATAGGAGCTGGCCCCCATACATCTGAAAAGATAAGTTGTAAAGGGGCAGTAGACACACTAGTAGAAATTGGGTAAGATAATTGATGACTTTTTGCTTGTTGACACGGATCACAAACTAACTCACTACTAGGCTCATAAGAGAGTTTATTTTTGCTAAGAACATATCTAACTATGACTGAAGATGGATGACCTAAACGACTATGCCACCTTGATGTAGATAGCTTGGTGACAATATTTGCTTGTTTATTGGACCATGAAGATGATGATGATGATGATGATATGAGTGGGTAGAGTCCTCCCACGCACCGTCCTCTAAGAATGACTCTCCTTGTTTTCAAGTCCTTAACCAAGAAAAAATAAGGATAGAACTCAATAAGAACATTGTTATCAAGAGTGAATCGATGAACGGAAACAAGATTTTTAGAGGTTTGAGGAACATGCAAGACATTGGTCAAGTATAAATTTTTCACGGGGGTTTTAACAATTGAACTGCCAATGTGTGTGATATCCATACCAGAACCGCTTGCCGTGCGAATTTGGTCGCCTCCATTGTATTTCTCCCGCATCGTCAACTTGTCAAGTTCACCTGTGATGTGGTTTGTTGCTGCACTGTCGGCGTACCAGTTGGTGTCCACGCCATAGGAGGCTGCATGCGCTTGCTTTTCTTCCTGGTCGTTTTCTTCATAACGCCACCAGCAAACTCGTGCACCTCCTGGATGGTGTCTGCAGCATATCTGACATTCTGGATAGTCATGCTGTTGCTCACGAGCCTGCTGTTGCTGTTGCTGTCGAGGACGGCCTCTGAATCCGCCGCCTCCATTGGAGGAAGACGACTGTCGGTCACCGCGGTCACCACGATCACCACGGCCACGGCCTCTTCCTCCACGCCCGCGAGATCTGCCACGGGACTGGCCACGGCCTCTGTGAACCGCATTAGCGGATGAATAGACCCCGCCTGAAGATGAGTCGCCTAGCATCTCCATCCTTTGATCAAAGGCAGCAATCTGGGCAAAAAGATCGTCGGCTGTGATGATGTTTTTGACAGCGCCGATCGCCGCCACCACGGGGTCGTAGTCGCGGTCCAGTCCGGCCAGAATATAGTCCACTATCTCCGGATCAGATACGGGACGACCTGCAGCAGCTAATTCATCCCCAAGACTTTTCATCTTCGCCATATACGCCGAGCTTGACATCGAGCCCTTCTTGGTATTGGTGATGGCGATTCTCAGATTAGTAATCCGAGACTGAGATTGTGAGGCGAAGAGATTTGTCACCGTCGTCCAGAGCTCAAAGGTGGAATCTTTCCCAACAACTTGTGCAAGAATTTCTGGAGACATGGAATTGAGAAGATATGATAGAACCTGCTGATCTTTGGCGATCCAGGGTCCGTATAGGGGATTCGGCTCTAAGGTCGTGGTCTTGTCTGCCTTCGTGATCTCCACCATCTTGGGTGGAGCGGCATCGGTGTTGTCCAGGAGCCCCGTCACCTGCGCGCCTCGCAGGGCTGGGAGGACCTGCGTCTTCCAGAGGAT